ACGCATGGTGTTCATGCAGAGCTAACCAGAGATGCTCTTTTTCCAGGTGATAGTGTCCCGGGGTGGTCGCTTTTTGGAAGCACCAGTTTCGGGAAATCAGCAGCTATCTAACGATGGAATGCTTGTGATCCTGGCAGCTGGCGACAGGGGTTTATATGAGGACTGCAGTAGCTGTTTCCAGGCGATGGGGAAGACTTCTTTTTTTCTAGGTAATTCAAACACAAAGGGCCTGATAGCAGGTTTTTTTAGTCAGTGCAAGGACTGAGAATTCCAGCAAGGAGTTGGAGAGGCATATTTGTCATCTGTTTCTTGTCTCCTTGGGCAGTATGGGAAACTGAGCTGCTCTTCTGGAGGATGGCCAATATCAAGAGCCTCCAGATTAAGTTTTCTTTTTTGAATACTGGCTCATTTTGGAGGTTCTGTGATGCTTTTTATTTTACATCATACTTTGTTATGATTTCTCCCTTCCTTTGAGTGCTTGGAAAACTGATAAGTTTTCTGAAGTCTTTCAGGGGAAGGAAGTGCTGCCAAGTGCTTGATATGAAGAGTGAAGTAGTGTTAATACTGTGTGGGATGGGGGAGCAAGGTTGCTGTTTCTCTTCTGGAGGAATGCCCAATGGTATGTCTTGCTCCCAGGTGAAGTAGGCAATGCTGCCAAGATGATGCTGATTGTGAACATGGTCCAAGGCAGCTTCATGGCAACGATAGCAGAAGGACTGACTTTGGCTCAAGTGACTGGCCAGTCCCAGCAGACCCTTCTGGATATCCTCAATCAGGGACAACTTGCCAGCATCTTCCTGGACCAGAAGTGCCAAAGTAATGTTCTCTTACATTGTTTTATTATAGGACATTTGCCACAACCTAGCAGCATTTCAGATAATGGCAGAAGGGAGAAAATAACTGTCCCATCTTTATCAGCCTGGGATTCTGGGTATTTTAAGCATTCTGGAAATGAAGAGCTGAGTTCCATTCCTTCCCCTCTATAGCTAGGGCTTCTGAGAATACACCCCCAGCTCTGCATTGTCTGCAGCTTGCTTAGGACTTCAGCTCACAGTGAGGATTTCATTGGGGCAGGGTAATAAGTGAAATAAGGGCAAGCTCCGTAGAAATCTGAGCTTACTTTGTTAGTGAGCAATAGTGGCATTATCTGCTGTGGCTGGATGAAGATAGAAAGCAGAGAGAAACAGAAGAGCTGAGAGCAGTGTTTGTGGTGATCAGCATGGGAAATTGAAGTTTGGTGTTCAATTGCATGCTCTTGCAGTGTGATTTACTTTTGCCATGCTTATTTTTTGCACCCATTCCTCTTGACAGATATCTTGCAAGGAAACTTTAAACCCGATTTCTACCTGAAATACATACAAAAAGATCTTAGATTAGCTATTGCACTGGGCGATTCTGTCAACCACCCAACTCCCATGGCAGCTGCTGCCAACGAGGTAAGGGTTCTGTGTTCAGATGTGTTACTCAGCATTTCTTCAATAGAGCCATTTGTCAACAAGAGAAAAAAATATAATAATTACATCATCTCTAAGACAAGAGAACAGCAATTGAAGTATATTTTGACTAGGATGGAATTGGATTTGATTGCAGAAGCCCTTAGAATGTCACATCGGTAAACACAGATGGCCTGAACAAGACCTGATGTGTTCTGATCTTCACTGATTTAATTACTTGACATACTATGCAGTTATCTGGTTTGCAATGGTCAGCAAAGTTTTTCTTCTGCTAGGGAGAGGCTTCACACAAGAGTAGGTACTGATCTGTTTCTAATTTCTCTTCCCTAGGTCTATAAACGAGCAAAAGCATTGGACCAATCAGACAATGACATGTCTGCAGTGTACAGGGCCTACATCCACTAGGCTGCACCGTTCTTACTGTTAATACTATGATTGATTAATATTATTATGATACTGGGTTTTAACTCTGGACCAGTCCATCTCTGTCTCTCCATTTCCTTTTATACACAGACTTTGAGATCTGCCACGGAGGCAGCTGCTGCGGTGAGCCTTCCCCTGTGGCAGAAGGGGGGGAGGAGGGGTCTCGGATTGCAGTCTAATTAGAAAAATCCATGCCATGCACTGACAGTCATGGAACAGAACAGCGGCAGCTTGTTCAGAAGCTCTGAGGCAATTCTGCCAGAAATCTGCTGCTTGGCTGCTTTTATTTTTCCTCTTTGTATGCTTGTCCAAGATGCTGTTTCTAATGATCCCTTTTCTCCTTTTCTGTGAAATAATGTGTGTGTTGGACTCTCTGCATCAAGGGGACAGGTGACATACATCCCATCTGCTTGTGAACATCACTTAAAGTCCTTGGTCCCGAGTAAGGTGAGGAGCATTCCTGGTAATTGGCCACTGTTAGAGAACAAAGCACCTCCCATGGAGGAGAATGGTGGTTCCAGAAGGTAATGGGGTTGCATGCAACATTGTCTTGATTCTGTTTCTTTTTTAAACTTCCACCTGCCCAGCACCTTGATGGAGGAATTCCTCATACTGTTAAGAAGAACAGATTGTATCCATGTCTTCCCCTGTGCAGACAGTTCTAGCTTAGGGAACACAAACCTTACTGAAAGTGAGAGAATGCCAGTGTAAATGAGCCTCCTAAAAGGCTAATCACAGCTGCCCATCCCACAAACAGCATTGGAGATCAACATGTCTGCATAGAAAACTGTAGGAGAACTATATAGCCTAAAACTGGGCCAGAGAGTTTATTTGGGGAAGGAACAAACCCTAGGGTTGCTCCTGGCCTTAGCTTATATTGCTTTACTTCTTGCTTTCTTTTTACCCTTGTAGTCAATAATTACAAAGGTGTCTTGGATTGTAGCAGTGTCACAAGCAGAGTGATGAGTCTGAAAGGGGTGAGAGGAATCATCGTAGAGCCAAGAGACTGAGGACCCTGAGCTCGTTTCCATGCTCGCTCTCTGGCCTTCGCATGATCATTTTATCTCTTAGCCTGTTTACCCATCATTAAAGGTGGGTGATGATTACCTACCTCACAGGGATATTTTGTGTACTGATTAGTGATCTTTATACATGTCGGGTTTTCCATACACGTTCTTAGTGTTACTACTCTGGGTACAACACTAGCACAGCATGAGACTTTTCCCTGTACCCGTGACTCTGCTTGTGGCCAGATAACCAACTTCTAGTAAATAAACCAGTAAATAAAATGGGAGGCTGAGACCACTGCTGAGCTTTACTCTAGAAATACGGGATTTCAACTGCAAATGCCAAGGCTAGAGAGCAGAGATGCTCTCAGTGTTGATGGCAGAGCAATCCAGAGTCCAAAAGATGCCTGTCTCTAAAAACGCAGAGAGCATGGTGTGGTTTTTAGTTTTAAGGTTTTAAAAAATTGTTCTCAGTATTAGCCTTTTAGGAGGGTTCTTGCATTTTAAATTTGAGAGTAAAATGCCAGTAAGAAACTTTATTGGCCAAAATCACTTCTCAGTGGCACAATCTCCTCCCTTGGATTGGGATTCTGAAAGGAAAGAGAGCAATTTCAAATTAGACCAGGTTTCTTTAAATACATGAGGTCTGCTCCTCCTACCATCGTATTTTTCTAGGAACTTGATGGCTGTGTATGGAAACTTTCTTGTCAGTTAGGATTTCTTACCAATCCTGCTTTGTGCAGCACATGCATATGGTTCAGGGGCACCTTATGAAACAGAGGAAGTACCAGATACTCATTGCGAATCTAACACCTAATGCTGTAAATGTTACTTCGTTGAATATTTCACCTTCTGCGATCACTATTAATTGTGGGCTAACACTGTGTTACGCATTCTGTCCTGTGGTGAACATCTCCTAGTAGTAGATCTGTTAGACTTCGCTCTGGCCCTTTGTCAGTGGTATACGTAAACAATACTAGTTATACATACATGTTCCTTTGGCAGTGCAACTGTCATCCTGCATGTAGATATTCATATTAAAGGCACATATAACTACCCAGGATAACCAGCCATTAGCCTGCTTTTGACACACTCGTGCTTCCCGCATCCAGAACTCCACTATTGGCATCACTAGTCCTTGGTTAAACATGCCGCAGTTAAGAAATCACTTACATGGATTGTGTATTGAAGGCATCTGGGGGAAATTGTTTCTTCTGGGGGGTGGGAGATAAGACCACAGGTTTTATAGTGTAAGAAATCTGTTGAGAGGAAGAGGGAGGTACTGTCTTGGGTCCAGTTGAGAGTGGAACCATGCTGAGCCAGTGCAGCAGGGTCCCTGACCTGTCCCTGCGGAGGTCTTTCGGGCCAGAGTGAAGGTAAATGAGTCTGAGCAAAAGTAATGGAGCATCTCCGTCTCTTTTTACTTTGTGGTACCTCTGGATAAAGCAGTGATACAAAAGCTCTCATGTCCTGTGACGAGTGTTTCATAGTGAATTCAAACAACGGTATTTGTGACAGGGAGAACTGCTCCCTAGGCAACTGACTGCTGCAGGTTTTGTTTTCCAGAAGTACTGTAGTTCTCAAAATGGAGATGGTTATTTGTGTGGGAGTGGCAGGTGCAGACACGGTAGTTGAACACGGTAGTTTGTCCTGGGGAAGTCTGACCGCAGCTTTCTGGCGAGGCAGGAGGACGCAGAGTGGGGAGGGTGCAGTGCTGCCCAGCCAGCCGTACAATCAGATACGCCAAGGAGCAGCAAGAGGCCGAGAGCTCTACAGTGGCCATGAAGTGAGGAGAAGGGATGGAAATGGTGAAAACTGGACTGTTTCAGATGCTGTTTGAGGTTGACTTGCATCAGTCTGACTCAGATTCTTGTATTTATGTCTGTAGCCTCAACGTGGATCTTGATCTGTTCCTAGGCCTGAGATTTGGGGGAGGGAAGGTGGGGGGAAGCTGTGGATTGAGAGATGCTCTAATAAAACTGGCTAGTCAATGTTGTCTTAATATTGTTGACAATTCTGTAAAGTTCCTTTTCATGAGGATTTCTGTTTTAGCAGTTTGCTTTTTTTGACTCCCTCCGTTTTAAAGAGAAAATGTGATACTTGTGAAAAGCTTGTAAGAAAAGCAGTTTCTTTTTTCCTTAATGATAGATCCTATAGTTAATTAAGGTTGTGAATTTTTATTTTTTTGCCTTGTTTTTAATTAATAGGATGTGTGAAAATGTTTAAATGGCAAAACAAAAAGATTTTTTTTGTGCAATTAACAAAGCTACTGGCAAAAAAGAATAAAACCTTCCTTGGTAACACCATGTTCCTGTGGCACTTCCTAAAGCCTTTCAGACCTGTATTGTGGCATTAAAGAAGTACCTCTGTTTCTCAAAACATTCAGAAATCAGAGTTGCTGAAAAACAGCATTTTGGTCATTGCAGAAGCTCGGCCTTGTCAGGAGAGCACTACGAAGGATGGGTTTGGATTAATTCCAGCCTCTGTGTGCAGAGTGCTTTGTGCTTGTGCAACGACGAGGATGAAGGCTCAGTTTTAAAGCAAAGAATGCTGAGAGGTGGAGGCCTGGTACCCTTCTGGTGGTGATGAGTGCTGGTGTTGTCTAAGTGGTGGGAGCCTGGTGGCTTTGTCATATCCTTCCTTCCAGCGCTTGGGGGTTTTCTGAACACTAAGTAGCAAGTGAGGTTGTCAGAGACACGATCTCTGAACTGAACAGCTTTCTGACAACCCAGGCACTGTTTGCTGCTGAGCAGCGGATGTTCATGGGCCAGGCAATGGACTGTACTCATGAATGCTGGTGAGCTTTGGTTAAAAGGAGTTACAGGTGCTACAGGAAAAGCTCAGTTTTAGCACTGTGACAGAGTGCTGGAGCAAGGCCACGGCGTCATCGGACACTGGCACTAGCAGAAGCTTTACCGGTTCGGGAGGTTCCCTGCTGATGCGGTGAAGTTGCTGCTCCTGCTGTGCCCTTGGCCACCCCTCAGCCGCAGCGCAGCGAAAAGGATCCCCCAACATAGGTGCAAAGCCTTCAGTGCCGGTATAAAATCATGTCAGTTTCAGCATTTCGCGAGGAACGTCTTTGTCCGCTCCTGAGGACTCGGACGCGCAGCCCAGTTTCACCTCGGCCGGCTCGCGGCCGC